TTAAAAAAAAAAAAAAAAAAAGAAAACCACAGTGGTCGTTTAGATGATGTCCCTTGCCGAACTCCGCTTCATTAACAACGTTATAGCCTAATTCTGAAGGCAACAAGGCCATCACTTTCGGACAGGCATTCCGCATTAGGTGAGTAGAAATGTCCAATTTATCCTTTTGATTCACTTATTTGTCACTGTGACGCTCCAATTTCCATGGTTCTTGTCTTCATCTCATGTTTTTCTTTCATTTTTCACATCGCCATCCACCCGGCAACAATCTCACCGCCGACACCTTCCGCGCAGTGACGCCGAGCTTCAAGAAGAAGATCAAGCTCTCAAATGGATTTTTGAAAATTTCAAATTGGTTTTGTCTTTTCACTTCCATAATAAAGTTAAAAAGCCCACTCCGAAATTTGTATTCAAACAACCAATTGGTTTTACATCGTGTAACTTTATAATGAAGATTTGTAACCCTGATTTTAAACCAATTTTTCGCAAAGGCAAAGCTCTCTTAAAATAAACTATTATGTCTGGTGTCTGGATGTAAGCTGCGTCTGGACAATGACTACGATCCACGGAAGGAATGCGGAGGAGAAAAAAATAACATCCGGTGGATCGCAACCGATGTCTGAATGCAAGGTACATCCGGACTTCGAACATAATATTTTTTCTCTCAAATGAGGCCTAAACCTCCCCCCCCACAACATTTTCTCTTATGTTTGCTCATATAAAATATTATTAAAAAATGGAAATTTAAGGAAATAATATTTCGCAACAGCATTACACTTAAATACTAATTCGAGCAGTTTATTATAGAAATTTTTCAATAATACCTAATCCTATCAAGGAAGACAGAAGATTAGCTTGAATGAGTATTTGAGTGTATTTATAATATATATATATATATATAGTTGTTTATTTATTATATTTTTTTATATTAACATATATACCATACAATTACTAGATATTCACATACCTAAAACCTAAAGTTAGGTATTTGCACTTATAATAATTTGGTGTCATAAATTCATACTTAAAAATATAAATATACTTTTTAAAAGGTTAATAGTAGTGAAATTTTGTATATAAAAAAAATATAAATATTATAGATGTAAATTTGAAAGTATTGGTGTTAGATATGCAAATAGTTGAAAATTGTATGGTATATACAGGACATTTTCTTGTGTACCACCTAATTCCAATATATTTATGTATTTATCTCTTTATTATATATATATATTCAACCAAATGTTTTTATGTCACAAAAAACCCTCGCATCATTGTAGCATTTCATAAAATGAAGCAGCTTCTAGGTTTGATTGGAGAAGTTGCAGACAAAAGAATCAAGAAGAAAGAAAAGATGTAATTGAGAGAGGAAGAGCAATTAGAGATTTAAAATTATTTCTCTAAAGTCCTCAGTTCAATAAAGAGGTATATATATACATATATATATATAAGC